GGGGGGGGGGGGGAGGCAAATTTTAGGAAACTTGTGTTTGAGGTTGAGAAATTGCTTTAATAGTTAGAACGCGATCTCGTGAGCTTATATTGACTAGTTCTTACCCCATTTAAGTAGTTTTGGATCGTTCGGCTCCAAATTGAGAGTTCGGGCTCGTTCTTGGTATTGGAAGTGCACTTTGGAGCGAGGTGAGTCTCCTTTCTAACCTTGTAAGAGGGAATTATCCCCATAGGAGTAATAATTATGTAATTTGCCACTCAATGCGGGGGCTACGCACGCACTAGGCGACGAGAGTCCGTGCGTAGCTACTATCATGTTAATTGTTCAGGTAGCTTAGGCCCCGTATCATGTTATATTTGTAAGTGTTATATGTCTTCTTGCTAATGTAATCATTTGAGATATGCTAAAGAATTGGAAATGAACATAAGTGAATATATGTATTGTTGAACACTTGTATGAATTTAATTAAGTGTAAATGCACCTTCTTGTATGTTCCTGTTGATAATTGTAAGTTGTGGATCGGACCGGTCGCCTCGGTAGAAATAGATGCATCTATGGTTCGCACCATTCGACCCTCTAGCAGTGCACAGTTTCTTTTCTGTTGGATCGGACCGTCGACCTCGGCATAATGTGCGCATGCTATCTATGTGAATTATTATAGATGACTTGCCTGTTAAATGGTTCGAATTGTAATTGGTTAACCGTGATATTATAATGTCATGACTTAGAAATTCTTATTGTAACTGTTATATAATTGTGACCTTCATGCCTAGCATAATATCGTATCATATTATTTGACCCTAGTAGGTATCAAGTCGACCTCTCGTCTCTACTTCTTCGAGATTAGACGTGATACTTAATGGGTACATATTGTTTATGTACTTATACTACGCTTCTATACTTAATTCTACAGGCTCTGAGGAAGGTACATCTGGCTATCAGGCCGTGCGCATCACTGATCTTAGTCCGAGACTTCCACGGTGAGCTGCTTTCCCTTCCTGTGCCGATCAGCAGTTGATGGAGTTTCTCTTATTTTTGGTTGTCTATTCTATTTCAGAGAGTAGGATAGATCTATTATTTTGTATATTCTACTAGTTGCCCATAGCTTGTGACACCAGGTCTTGGCACACAGTAGACAGTTTTTTTTGGGTTGTATAACTAATACTGAATATTGCTTACTATCATATGTTTTAAATTGCGTAAATTAAGACACTACAACATAATATATTTATAGCTACAATACAGAACGTAGCTAATTATCAAAATTTTCGTGGCTAAACACTTTAGCCATAATATTTTTTTCCGTAGCATTCGTAGCTAAATGTAGCGTAGCTAAAAGTTAGCTACAGACTTTACATAGTCAGTGGCTAAGGATTAATACTTATTGCTACGAAATTTTTGTATTGTAGCTATATTTATAGCAAATGATTTTATACTCTTGCCATGATTAATACATTTATAGCAAATAATTTTACACTCTTGCCACGACAAATAAATCTGTAGCTATCTAATTCATATGGTAGCCACAAAGTGTTGTAGTGTGGCATAAGATCTAACTTTATTTGCCACAAAAATTCAGATATGTAACTGCTTTCGTAAATTAATCCATGGCAAAAGTATTTTTGTTAGCTACGGACTAAAAGTTCCATGGCTACAAATTATACAAAAAAATAGTGGTTATATTATTTTATTATATTTTAATTTTTTGACAAAAATATAATTTATTATAGTGACTTTTTCTCTCACAAGTCCGTTGTTTCTTAGCTATTGGATTTTTTCTAAAATTTTCCAATTATTCTATGGCAGTGCATATTATATTAAAACTAATAACATTTTAAGTTTGAGAAATAACTTATTCTGCACAAATTAAAATCTAAAAAAGCTTCACAAAATAAATTGCAAAATACACATTTATACTAATCAATTAATAGCAACTGCAATACATTAAGTCTTGTACAATAACAAAATATTGAAGGAAAAAACTAGCCAATGTGAGGCTTGCTTGTAACAGAGATCAGAAATAATGTACAAAATTTTGCAATGAATATAAGTATTTGCCTGATGATTTATGTTGCCACCTTCATTCACCTCTTAATCTTCATGCATCCAAGAATATATTAGGCACTCTCACTAGAATGATATAATAAAATAGCATGATCTTGTGAGAAACTTATATTTGAATTATCAAAATCTAAACTTTTTTTCCAACACAGAATACAAATGAAAAAGCATTTAAATAAACATCATAAATTTAAGGAGATGGAAAAAGAAGTAAAACTTACGGTTTGACATTAGAGGAGATTGAAATTTCTCAAAGACACTTTTTTTCTTGAGTACCCTGTAAATCAAAAACAAACAATTGAAGCAGAAACTCAAGTTAATTAGGTATAAGGCACAAAACCTATCAAATGTTTAAAATTGGGGATACCATCTTGTTCCTCTTTGTCTTTCTCGCGGCCTTAATGCTGACTACTGAAGGTGGAAGAAAGACATAAAAAAATGAGGAGGGAGGAAGAAAGACATAAGAAAATGGGGTGGGAGAGTGTCGACTGAGGAAGAGGGAGTAGGAAGTTTAGGTTTATGTTTTGGATTTACTTTGTCGTTACTTGTTATATATTTTGTGATAGTTTACTTCTAATACAAATGCCATAGATACAATATACAAGGAAAAAAAAACAAATACCATAAATGCAAATAAAAGTAAGAAAAACCTATAATAAACAAAAAAAAAATACATTAACTAAAAAAAAAATCAACTATTTGCATGAAATAAAGATATTCTAAAAAATATTTTTCTTTATAGGTTTTTTCATCTTATATGATATTGTTAGTTTTGTTATATGTTCATATTTCAATAATATTAGCTTCTTAATTTTTAGTGTTAAGTTAGATCTATGATAATTCCGTATTTAAAAAATGCAAAACTATAAAGATAATATTAAGATATTTATACATAAGACAAGAATATATATACATATACATATACATATATATATATATATATATATATATATATATATATATATATATATATATATATATATTAAAAATATTGATATATTTTTTATAAAAATAATAAATGGCTTATCTGTTTATACTTTTGATGAATCTAACACTTGTAAGCATAATAATTGTGAAAATATGTAACTATTCTTAAATACAAATAATACTCACAAGAGAGACAAGATCTCCTTCACGTATAAGAACGATATTAAATTTTTAATTTTTATATTCGGTGTATAATTTGATTTATGAACATTATTAAGATAGTAAATAACATATCATTTTAACATATCTTATCGTCTAGAATAAATATGTATAATTTGTTATACGATGTAATTGGTATAATATTATTGCCATTTAATTCTCAATAATTAGTTATTCACACATTAATTAGATATGATTCCATGTTTCTAATAAAATTGGAACTTACTACTAATACTGATTTAACAAGAATTGTTACAAAACTTAGCTCAAAGTAACAATATAGAACAATAAAATAGACAACAATGTAGAGAGAAAGAGAGGAGAGAATCTTATTTCTTCTATGTATTCAAGTGTGTACAATGTGATGCCTAAACCCTCTATTTATAGGATGATATAGGTAATACAAAGGGACTCCATAAACATGGTATTAACTATTGAGAACATGGGGAAGATCATGAAAGTGTGGGAGTTACATCCATAATGGTAAGAAGTAGTGGGAGGTTAATGGAGAAGAGTAGTGGGTGTTACTCCCTTAGGAGTTATGGACATCCACCATAATCAAGTATTTCATAACACTCCCCCTTGGATGTCCAAAGATAATGTGCCTCGTTAAAACCTTACTAGGAAAAACCCTATGGGAAAAAAGAAATCCTAGTGAAGGAAAAAGAGTACACATATCTGTAATACGCTTTATTTGCTGCCTCGTTAAAAACCTTGCCAGGAAAACCCAGTGGGATAACGAGGCAAGGTTTTTAACAAGGCAGCAAATAAAGCGTATTACAGGTAATAATGGCTGACCAGTCAGGTAAAAATGGCTGACCAGTGGTAACAATGGCACTGAAACACGCGTTGGGTCAGGTAACAATGGCTGACCGGTCAGGTAACAATGACTGACTAGTAACGAAGAAGTCTGCAGGATAATAGATGGACTGCTAAGTGATTCGATTCCTATTGTGGCTTGATGTGTAGCCCGAATTATGGGCGCAGGATGAATATTTTTGTATCTCTTAGTTGAGAGGTAAAGTGCAATACATGTGGCAGTATGAGTTCAAGCTCAGGTAGTCTAAATTGACTGTGTAACACATATGATAGTGGAAGGTATGCTGAAGTACTAAATTGAGGCGAAGCAGGTGGATTAACTCCTGCTGAGTGTTCTTGAGTGGTATGATCCTTATGTGTATGTTGGTAGATCTCATGTGTAATTGAAGGGTATGTGTTGAAATTTGAGAATTCGGGTCGCTTAAGAGAGTGGACTCAGTTGATGTGGGGATGAATGCGAGGGTTGTAGAGGATTTCAGTACTAGATGATCTGTGTTTTCACAAACTTGTACATGATTTGAGTTTAATCTCACTGTGGCATAGTGGCATCATTAGAGGAAAAGTGTTATGAATTGTTAAGGGTGTCTTGATATATGGCTTTGAGCCAAGTTGGGGAGGTTGCTGTTGATTAGCTGATTGCACGGTTATGTGCTATGTTGGTTACGTCTCAAGGTATGCTGGCGAAACAGTTCTAGTTGCAAAAATTGAGCCGAGGATGGCACGAGTGAAGCAAAATTTCGACAAAGGGTATATTATGTTCCATAGGGTATGAGAATTACGGAATGTCTAGAGTTGTCGCTGGTAAAGGATGCTCGGTGCATAGAGCAAGAAGTTGCTTGGTTGTATTGGGATGAGGGTCTCATTTTACGGTACCGAAGTGCCAATAAAGAATGAGTGGTTCTGTTCGTTAAATCAGGTAATTTGCAGATGAATAAGAGTGAATGACTCTCGAGAAAGGTTTTAATGTGTTCAAGAATCTACATGTAACACTCAGGTGTTTTAAGGTGGTGTATGTGACTAAAGACAGTGTTTGCAATAGAAAATGTCAAGACTTGTGGTATTTTTTTTTAATGTTGATCATGGGATCCTATGTGTCGGTACCTGAAAAGTAAAGGAAGCGAATTTAGATTCGCAGAAAGTTCTTCAGAGTAAAGTATTCTGGAATGTGGTATTTCTGGGAAACAATTGAGAGAGTATTCAATGGCCTATGAGTCTTAGACAGTGTGCTCTTATGTTCGAGTCTCGTGTGGTAAGCTTGGATTGAGGCATTGTGATGCTACAGCGAGGGAGAAATATCAAGTGGATGATGAATCAAAAGGGAAATTAGATAGATGGGAAAGACTTGATANTCGGTTACGGGTAAAGGTTAAGGGTCGGGTTTTACCTTTAACGGTAGGTTAGTTGGTCGACGAGAACGACGTCTTCGTAGTCCGTACGAACCTAGTCGTAGCTGTGTTCGGGTAGAAGGATTCAGTCCTGGCAGTTTAGCTTGTGCAATGGAGTTGGAAGGGAGTTCTTGATGAGTTTTACCGTGGTTTAGAGACGTATATGTTGCCTATGGGCATGTGAAGCATGGAATGTGTAATGATTTCTCTTCTTGATGGGATTGATGGAGAGTTCTTGACTAGTGGAGTACGTAGATGTTTGTGTTTAGGGAGGGGGATGGAGTTCTCATGTTATAGTAGTGTGGTATGGTATATGCGATATGTTGTGGAGGATTGGGATTTGAGTGTGTAAGGTTACGGTTCAGTTCATAATGGAAAGTCATTAAATTCTTAAGCAGCACGGGCAGCTGCAGGTGATTAAAGAATTGATCTTCAAATGATTAAGGATAATGGTATTGCCAACCATAGTGATTCGACGGGGGCATATGTTCCAGAAAAAGGGCAATGTGATGTAAACTGATGATACTTCGGTATTGTTGCGGCATTTGGGATCGACTGTTGATATCTGAGTTTGTTTGATGGCACAGGGAAATTTTAGATTATCTTTCGTGGGATGATTGGGTACTTGAGGTGTGATATGTATTCGTACGGCGCAATTTGGGATCAGGTACAGTGATTTGTGTGCTATATGGAGTTGGAGACTAGGAGTTCTCGTGTTTAGGCTATGCAGTTATTGTGAATCTTGTGTATCGGCACCGTCTAGCGGTTATTGGGAATTAGAGGTCCGAGTGGATCTTTCTTTGCTTGGTATGCCAGATTTTGGATATGATATTGGATTGTAGACTGGTTGTCTTAGTGTTGGGTTATTCTAGACTATTGTGCTACAGGCTATGTTGGAAAATGCCACAGGTTGCGTGGCGAGGTGCATCAGATTGTGTTCTAGCAAAGTAGTTTGTATCCCAAAGACCAGCGGACGGCTGGGAAGGATTACGTTTCGTAATTGGCTCTTCGTGGCGGATGTCAGTATAGAGGTTTCTACCATTGATTCAGTTCCGTTATTGAGGGACTTTTCAGATGCGTCTCTTGTGGCCGGGCATGTTACCGGGCGAGGTTGTGGATTTCGATTTTCATTTGGTGCTGGGCACCGTATCGTACGGCTCCGGAAGGAGTTATAGTAGTGGAAGGAGCAGCTTCAGGCTTCTTGGTATTGAGTTCGTTGGCAGGCCGTTGTGGCTACGTATTTGGCTTGAGTTAGCTTGGTTAGTCCCGAGTTGAATTGTTGAGGGATAGGTTGATTCGATCGTTATTGAACTTGTTAGTGATCTAGGGAGATCTATGAGTTGATTTTCTGTGGTGAGGCGTTATGATTTGTTGGATATGGGCACATGTGGTACGGTTCTATTGAGGATTCATAGAGAAAGTCGACCGGGAAGAGTAATTGAGTGTTGCTCAGTAAATGGAGTATTGGTTATGATCTATCGGGTTGCGTGTCATATGTTATTTGTTTCACCGTGAGTGTAATGAATTGCTTTGGTTTCAGACATCAATTGTGTGTGATTGTTGATTTTGAGCATAGCGGCTTGAGGTGCTTGAGGTGTAACAGTGTTGGGACAGGATCGCGCATTGTAGCGAGGCTACGGGAGTTATGACCTTTCGGGGTAGATTCATGCATTTTATTTCTATGATGTGAGACGGGGTCTCAGCATTGTGTAGTGATGGTATTGTTGAGCTTGAGGTACAGCCCTTTCGTTTGAGTTATTTTTCATGATTTGAGTATGTTCAGACCGTCTCTTATCGGTGCGTGTATTATGCAAGTTGTGGCTTCGGCCTGTATTGAGGTGTCATATCACCAGAGTGGTGTGTTGGATTCGAGGTGATCGTTGGAGTCATTAATGAATACGAACAGATTTGATTTCAGCTTGTTAGAAGGATAATATCGAGGTTTGGCCCGGAAATCTGTTGTGGTATTAGTCAAAAGGGAAACAGTTTCATGAGTGGTTGATATGAGAAATGATTACGGTTTATAGTGTGTCTCATTTGTTGTTGGCAATATATGGAAGTGTTGGGATAAGCCTTTAGCTAATAAAAGGTTTTCTATCGGTATTTGGTTATTGTGGGCAGCTGCTGCGAATAGAAGTTATCGTTTCGAGTGTTTGAGCTATATAGTATATCATGTGATTGAGGGTTATTACAGCTGGTTCGG